GACAGTTTCATCTATTTTTTGCCTTTTCTCATATCTTTCATTGTTGAGGAACTAGAGACCTGACTTTAATCTACTCGATACTCGACCATGATTACTGTCGAAAATTTCTCGTGCAAAGCGATTTGAGAAGTTACAAAAAAAATCGCAAATTCAAATTTGAAAAGTGGAGACTTGCTTCTGGCCAACGTCCTGTTTCATCCAGTGCTGCGATGTTAATCAACACACTCGCGAAATAGCATCTCGTTAGTCTCTATCGTCGACACTCCGCAAATCACGTGAAAAGCGAAAATAGGTGTTTGTGAACATTATTTTGTTTCAGTCTCTGCTTACTATATTGATTTCTGAAAAAAAAAAAAACTTCAGCATATCTTTTAACAGCTTGTTTACAAGTTTAAAACCTTGTTGAGATCTCTATTTTGATTTGAGTACCTCAACTTTACCACTTTTATAAGCTTACATTCAGCACATCACTCCATTTCTCCGTGGCTTTCAGGAGAAATTGCATGGCTGATGTGCTGTAGTTTTTTCGGTAATGCCCATCTTGAGTTCCCAATAAACTATTTCCATTATGGGACTGGATGCTGCATGAAATGGGGATCGCAACGCCTGCTATGTTGGAATTTTATATCTCTTTCTTACTCTTTCAATTTTGACTCATAATCAAGGTTTCCTGGCTACTCTCAATAGAATCAGGCTCTCGTAAAAACTTATCTAAAGATACTACGAAAAGGAAAACAACCATTATCCCCTTGCACAAAACACTCCAAGGTTTATCCGCCCTCATGAGCTAAACGTTTTCCATCGAGTGCTAAGAGGGCCTCGAGCAAAACAGATCATTTTTGTTTAGGTTAGCTCTGGAAGTTTACTACCATGTCATAATTTCACAATTAATTGCTATTTTAAGATTCTCTTTTATACTAAACTTATCATCAAAGAGAGTAAGAAGAGGAAAATGAATTCCTCATTTGAGGGAAATGAGGAATTCATTTTCCTCTTCTTAGTCTCTTTGATGATAAGTTTAGTATAAATCCTTACATATATCGCTGGAGAAACACAGCATATGTAAGCATTTCCTACTAGTGGAATTTTTGTCAACTTTCCCTCTTTTTGTCTTCCACGACTACTGTTCTCTCGTCAACGATGGTGCGTAAAGGCTTTCGAACAGCAACATACACGTGTTCGATGTTTGCCTACGCTCTGGCAACGGAAGGTGTCATCGTTCTGTTTTCTGGGCAGCGAAGCGATCCAATCGCCCGCGTTTGCTGCTCGACAACCATCGCAGCCGCTCTCACCCGTTACGGTTACCTCCGCCTCGAGTGCGCCCTCTTTTCGCCCTGCGGAGTTTCGGGTCTGACTGCGCTATTTGATTAATGCGCTTATGAATCCATGCAGTTCTGCCGCCCCAGTGTTTCCAAACGCACTTTGAGTGGGCAGAGTAACCCTGCGTTCTTCCTAGGAGACTCATTTTCTCACATGCATCCATATTTATAATGTCGCCGTATTGATTATATCGCGCCGTTTTCCTTCCGTACTA